GTTAAATACTCAAGTGAAATAAAATCATATATCTACATAAAAACTTATGGGCGGAGCATGGTGGCTCATGCCTGTAATCCCAGCTACTTGGGAGGCTGAGGCAGGATTGCTTGAGCTTAGGAGTTTGAGGCTGAAGTGAGCTATGATTGTGCCACTGCACTCCAGCCTGGTGACAGAGGAAGATCTTATCTCTACAAGAGAACGTGTACATGAATGTTCATAGCAGGCAGCATTGTTCATAATAGCCAAAAAATGGAAACCACCCGAATGCCCATCAACTGATGATGAAGGGATAAACAAAATGCGATAATATTCATACAATGGAATATTACTTAGCAATCAAAAGCAATGAAGTACTGATACATGCTACAACATGAACTTTGAAAATATTAAACTAAATGAAAGAAACCAGTCACAAAAGACTGTATATCTTTCCATTTATATGAAATGTCCAGAATAGGCAAATTTATAGAAACAGAAAGTAGATAGATGAATGGTTGCTTAGAGCTAGTGGGAGGGAAGAGAACAATGGATTGACGGCTAATGCATACTAGTTTTCTTTTTTTTTTGAGACAGGGTCTCGCTCTGTCGCCCAGTCAGAGTGCAGGGGCATCATCATAGCTCACTGCAACCTCGAGCCTCAAGCTCCTGGGCTCAAGCGATCCTCCTGCGTCAAACTCCTCCTGCATCAAACTCCCCAGTAGCCAGGACTACAGGCGTGTGCCACCACGCCCTGCTAATTTTTCTATTTTTTGCAGAGATGGGATCTTGCCCTTGCTCAGGCTAGTCTCAAACTCCTGGCCTTCAAATGGTACACCCACCTTGGCCTCCCAAAGTGCTAGGATTACAAGTGTGAGCCAGTGCTCCCAGCACTAGTTTCCTTTTAGGGGAGGAAATATTACAAAACTAAATTGTGGTGATGGTTGCACAATGTTGTGAATATACTAAAAACATTGAATTGTGTGCTTTAAATGAGTTAATTGTATGGTATATGAACTATATCTCAAAGTTGTTTTTCTTTAAAAAGACAAAGATTATTAGAATGGATTTTAAAAGTGATTCACTCCAAATATAATGGTATATTATGACTCAAAGATTTCACTAAAAGAAAAATATATAGTATATAGCTAGGTTTAAGTAAAAGGATGGCTAAAGATACAACATGAAAACACTAACGAATACTAAAGTGGGCCGGGTGCGGTAGCTTACGCCTGTAATTCTAGCACTTTGGGAGACTGAGCGGGGAGGATCACTTGAGGCCAGGAGTTTGTGACCAGCCTGAGCAGGAGCAAGACCCCATCTCTACTAAAAATAGAAAAAATTAGACAGGTGTGGTGGCACTCACCTGTAGTCCCAGCTACTAGGGAAGCTGATGCAGGTGAATTGCTTGAGCCCAGGAGTTGCTGGGGGTTACAGTGAGCTATGATGTTGCCACTACACTCTAGCCAGGGCAACAAAGACCCTGTCTCCAAAAAAAAAAAAAAAAACCTAAAGTGGCTATATTAATATCATTCAAAATAGACTTCAGAACAAGAAAAGTTATCAGAGATAAAGAGAGACATTACATAATAAGAGTTCACCAAGAAGATACAACAATCCAACTGTGATATGCACCTAACAAAAGAGTTTCAAAATACATATATCAAAAACTAACAGATCTGAAAAGGGAAATAAACAAATCCACAGTTATAGTTGAAGACCTCAGTATGCAGAACTTATAGTCCGAAAATCAGGAAAATTATACAAGAATTTTAACACAAGCAGCTAATGGGATCTAATTGACATTGTTAGAACACTTTACCCAGCAGCTGTAGAATGAACATTCCTTTTGGGTGCACAAAGAATACCACCAGGAAATACCACATCCTGGGTTGTAACAAACCTTAATATTTAATAAATTCAGAAGAACTGAAATGTCTAGATGTTCTCTGATCATACTGGAATTAGACCAGAAAAATAGATAATAGGAAAATCTCCAAATACACAGAAATTAAACAACAATTAAGAAATAATTCATGGACCAAATAGGAAGTCTTAAGGGAAATTAGAAAATATTTTGAGCTGATGAGTATGAAAATAGAAAATATCAAAATTTGGGGGATGTAAGTCAGTGGGAAATACTGATTAGAAGAAAATTTATAGCATTAAACGCTTATATTAGAAAGGAAGAAAGGTCTCAAATCAGTAATTTAAGCTTATACTTTAAGAAACTAGGGAGAAGAAAGAGCTTAAAGCAAGTAGAAGAAAGGAAATATAAAGAGCAGAAATCCATGAAATTGAAAAGAGAAAACTAATCAATATAAGTGAAAGTTGGTTCTCTGAAAATAATCAGAAAAATTGATCATCCTGCAGCAAGACTGAGAGAGAAAGTGGGGAAGTGTTTGGAGATGAGGTTGGGTAGGTCATGGGGGACAGGTTATGGCTTTGCAGGGCATTGTATTTAATCTGAGGGGGATAACGAGCCATGACAGATGAGTGATTTGATCTGACATTTTGAAAAGATGACCAATTTCTATGTGGAGAATAGACCTTAACAAGGGAAGGGTGGACCAAAGGAGACCAGTAGAGGCAGTTGTGACTGTCCAGTCAAGAGGACATGGACTGGAGTGGCAACAGTGAAGGCAATGAGGGAGGGTAAAATTCTGGATATACTTTTAAGATAGAGACAATGATTTGCTTATGAATTGGATATGGGTTATGGAAAAGAGAAAGATACATCAAAATTTTTGGTTTAAGCAGCTAGAATGGAGTTGATATTTACTGAAATGGGGAAGACTGCCAGGTATGGAAAGATATCTAACATTAGATTTTGGATGTGTTAAGTTTGAGGTACCTGTTGAATGGAAGTGTTCAATACAAAATTGGATACACACTTCAAGTTCCCAGAGAGGGGGAAGAATCATTTGGAGGGTCATCAGGGTACACTAAGTATTCAAGTCCATGGGACACACGAGAGCACCAGAAAAAGAATGTAGATATTATAGAAAAGAGAAAGAAGTAAAAGACCATACCCGAACACTCTCCAAAATTGAGTTGGGAGGATGAGAAAGAATACAAAACAGTGGCAAATAGGGCCAAGCACAGTGGCTCATGCCTGCAATCCCAGCACTTTGGGAGGCTGAAGCAGGAAGATAACTTGAAGCCAGGAGTTCGAGACCAGCCTGTGTAACATAGTGAGACCCCGTCTCTACAAAAAAATGAAAAAAAATTAGCCGGGTGTGGAGAATAACTTGAGCCCAGGAATTCTAGGTTACAGTGAGCTATGATCAGACCAGAGTGCTCTGGGACCCTGCCTCTTAAAAAAAAAAAAAAAAAAAAAGTAATGGCAAATAATGTCATTGACTGCTATGTAATAAAAATAAAGTAATATATATGGGAATGATATGATACATAATAGCTTGGATAAGGGTAATCTTTGGGGGAGAAGTGAAGAGGAAGGGATTGGTGGTGACATTTTAGTATATCTGTGACTTGATTCCTATTAAAAATATCTGAAGCAGATATGGCAAAATATTAGCATCTATTGAGTTTTGGTAGGCGTTTTACCTTCTATACTTTGTGCTCAAAATGTTTCATAATTTAAAATTGAAAAAGAAATGAGCATAAGACCACAAAAGCAGTTTGTTAAATGGATTCTGGAACTCTACTGCAGACCTACTTACTCAGTCATTAGGGTCATGAAATGGGAATCTGTATTCAACAAACCTCTCCAGGTCATTCTGATACATAGGCAGGTTTAGGAACTACCATGACTATTCTACAGAAATGTCTGAACAGAGTCCTGTAGGACTGCCACCTCCCTGTTCTCTGTCTGGAACTTCTGTTAATACAGCCTACAGTTGTATTAGCTCTTGGTGGGAAGGCCATCTAAAGAAAGGAGACCAAGCTGGAGAAGGATCTTCAACATGTTATAGAGGAACACATGAAGCAACTGAAAGTATTTGGCCTAGATTAAAGAAGACCTGTAGCAGCTGTCAAATATTGCAAAGCAGGGCATGGGTATAGAATTGGAGTTAGGCTTAAATTTCCTTAACATCACTGAGTGGAACCAGCTTTGGGTCCAAATAAGGAAGGGCTCTAACTGTTCAATGGCATAATTTACTTTTTGGAAGTAGTGGCTGCCTTATTCCTGAAAGTAAAAGTGGTGAGGAATGCTAGAGAGGGAATTCCTTCATGGGCTATGAAGTTGTTGGCATAGATAACATGAAAGATCCCTTTTAATTCTGAGGGTTTTTTTCCCTTTGTGATTCTTTTTTGTTGTTTTCCCATAAGCATTTCACTTTTCTGATTTCTCTACAGTGAACATGGAATTTGTGAGCAAACATTTTTTTTTTCCTAGAAACAAATAATGCTTATTGCTTAACTTTTTTCTACTACCCCCAATTGTCTTTTGGAAGATCTTTCTTTTCAGCAAGGAATACTTTTCCATCCCTTACTCCTGTCATGGGTCCCACTTCACAAAGTCCTGAGGGATACCTGTGGTATCATATTTACCTCTTTTTGTTAAAATAAGCAATTTCATTTATCACTGATACTCTAAGGTGCATTTTTATAGTATTTCTAGTCTTGTTTCTTTCTGAGAACTATAGGCTTCTCCCACTACAGAGTTGAGAGTTAAAAAAACAGATTTGATCTTTTGGAATGAAGGTCATTGACACTATTTAGAAAATGAATAATACCCTGTTGATTAATGAATTACCTCACATTGGAGCCATCTGTACTATAGGGGAAGGAGACATTTTATACCTCTACATGTGCCTTTCTAGGCCCTCTGAGTATTTGTTCAATGTATTACTGTGTCTTTTTGGGTAGTTAAAAACTAAAATGTAACCAGCCTGGAGCACATCATTATATTAATATGTGCTAAATAAAAGGACACAATAGTTTAGGTGTCTAGTAGATTATTGTAATTTTAACTTGAGATTGAAAAAGGTTTAGCAATTTTTGTAAAGTCATGCACATTACCGACATTAATAGAATTCTTTTTTTTTTTTTTACAGAAAAATTTTTAAAGACCTATCTTCTGAAGATACACGGGGCAGAAAAGGAGACAGAGAAAACCCTGGAGTTTCTGCTGTCACTTCTATGTCTGTTCCGACTCCCATCTATCAGACTAGCAGTGGACAGTACAGTATGTATAACAATCAATTTGCATGTGATAGACACACAAAAACTGACCTTTCTGTGGAAAGTGCTGTGTAGAAAGACTGTCATACTTTAACAGTGGTGATTATTAAAGGATAATATTTTGAGCCAGGAATAGGGCATTATCTCATTTACTCTTTACAACAACTTTGAGAGATAGGCAGTTATCACTTTATGAGGGAACTAAGGTTTAGTGAAATAGATAATGTTCCTGAAGTCACACAGCTTGTAAGTGATGGAGCCAGGATTCAAAATTAGGTTTGTCTGAATCTAGAGACTTATTTTTAACCCCAAACTACACTGTCTCTTATAAATTTCTCTTTTGAATACTAGCCAATTATATATCCATGACCTTAATTCTAGAGGAAATTACTATTTGGATTAGTTACATAATGAAAGATTAAACATGAATGTTGAATTTTCGGTTTGAGGTTAAGGAAGTTTGACTCAGAAAGAGGATTCAGATGGCTTTGCAATGTAATTTATAGCATGCCCGCCATAAATAATCAGTGACTGATCAACTTTAATAAATCATTAAATCTCTGTATCTGAAAGTATCATTA